TGGGGATCGGGGAGGTCCGGATCCAGCCTCCCGTCAGGCGTGTCCGCCTCTCGGGGAGCCCTGGCTGCTCCCTCTGGAGAACGGGGAACCTATGGGGGCCGCAGGTGTTCCGCGCTTCCCAGTCTCCAGCCGAAGGCTCTTTGATTGGAGAAAGGAAAACAAATGGGGTTATCAAGGTTTGAGCCCGAGTGAGCTGTCGGGGGAGACGCTGGAAGTGAATAACAGGATTGGGGATTACAATGGCAATGAAAACCCCGATTTCAGTTCTCTTCCAATGCAGTAGACCTCCCACCGCCCCCTCCCCCCAACGAAAAATACCCATCCATAAACTATGTCATTCTATAAGCTATTTGTGTGGGGGTTTGAGCTGTGTTTTGACATCCTTCACTCTCCTCTGTTGGGCATCTCGCTCGAGTGACTGGCTAGCTGCATCACAGGCTGTCAGGTTCTTTGAGCCTGCCATAAATACCCTGCTTCACCTTCATTGTCGTTCAAATCCTAGTGCTGCAAAGGAAATGAATGGAGAAGCTTATGCAGCTCTACAGTCGCAGACCCGAGATGATGCAGAGCCTAGAGGGTTAAAGCAACAGGATGAAGTCAGCACAAAGCAGCCCACAAGGACTGGCAAATAAATAAATCATCCTAACTACACTGTTATTATGGCTTGACTGACGTTCATTGTCTCTTTCTTTTTTACCTGAATGTCTGTTACATTTTTCTCCTTGCTCAAGAGAAGCAATCAAAAGGGACTGTGAGCAGTAAATGGCTCCTGCCCATTTTGAATGTTGCTAAAAATACTACCTTACCTCTCCATATCTAGAGGTCAATTGAAAAATCAAAATAATGAGGTAAGCAATCCTGCAGACTGTTCTGTTGAGGAGATTTCTTGAATTTCTTCCCAGAAGGAGAATATAAAACTATCTGAACATACATAAATTCTCTTGCATTCTGTTTCCAGTTCAGCACCCTCCTCTGCACTTATGGCTGTAGCTCAGTGAGGCTTCCTTCCCCAGGCACTTGGAAATTACGGTTCTCAATACAGCTTTATAAGACTGGCAGATGTGTTCTGCACAGTTCTGTCATATCTCCTGGCTCTTGGGCAGATAAAATTAGCTTTGGTACAGCAAAGAAGGAGATGATGTGTTTAAAGCACTGCAGTTTGGGTACCTGTCTGTACCTGCTTCCGCTTGTCTTGAGGGAAGGTGGGTAGGTTGTGCTTCAGTGCTTTTTCTATGAAATGGGAATAATGTCCTATTTTCTTCACAGGAAGGAAGCAAAGGTGGGAGGGGTACATATCATCATTATCTTTTATGATAGAATTCTCTGAGTGGATACATTTTTCAAGGCACACAATAGTCATTTAATGTTCCTCTTCATTGATACACAGGGATAGCATAAAAACATGCAACACATTGACTGAAAAGAAGGAGAAATTTCTTATATCTCCACAGAATCTTCTCCCTGAGGATTTAAAAAATTTCCAAATTAATCCTCAGTATCCAGCATGCTTCATGATTTTGTAATTTTTATTTTCTTTTCATGAAAAAGATCTTCTCCTTCTGTTTCTAAAGATTAGGACATATAATTGACTAACAGAAAACATTCCCTATAATGTAGGTCACCAACAGTATAAAGCAAGCAAAACCAAGATGCAGAAAGGAATTTTTCTGGAGATCTTTCACTTAACTTTTGAAGAAGCAGCACCATTTCAGAAAAATTCAGAGTGGTTTGCAGACCATTTGGAAAGGCCAGATGTGATGAATCAGTGTCAGTACTTCAGCCCATCCTATGACCAACATGCTAACAACACAAGCATCCAACATTTTAATAGACACAGAAAATGTGTCACAGCAGATATAAGTAGATTGCCTGTATCTAATCTACTTACTATGAGACTTTTAACATAAGAGTAAGAATTAGAGTATTCGGACCATTACAATATTTGGTCAAAAATTTTTAAGGTGACCAAGATCTAAATGCTCACCTCATCATCCTGTATTAACTGGGGGGCTTTTGGTAAAATCCCATTATGGGCTTCATCTGAGAAGAGAAAAAGCAGACTTTTCATAGTTTGTGTATAGATCTTAACTTTATTGAAACTGTTTTCTGGACTGTTTTGCTAGTGCTAGATCCTGTTCAAACTCATTTCATTAGATTGGATGGAAGTGGAGAGCACAGACAAAGCGTGAGAAATTAGGGGAATATTTGTGTGAGCAAGGAGGTATGAGTGTCTTAAGCTTCCAGGGGTTTTGCAGAACCAAATGTTTCTGTACCAGGTACAGGTCTCCCAGCTGACATTCTCAGCTCAGTACTACTGTTTGACCAATCTCTTCAGTCCACCACGGAGAAGATTCCTGTTTTCCATGCTCCTGGCTGATGGGCTGAGCTCGTTCCTGTCAGGCCCTGGAGGCTATATCTTGTGATTGCTCTAGTATTCTGCTCGCTAAAAGATCAATCTGTTGCCTAAAACACTAAAAAGCCACCTTGATAGGCAAACAATAGACCACTCACTCATCTTTAGGTGGCACAATGACCAAATTGCTCTGTCATTCACCCAAACAATGACCTTGTGTCAAAGCAGTATTTCCATTTCGTCTTGAAATCCTCCACCCCACCCTTAGGAAAGAGGCCTATCCTACACCCCACCCTTAGGAAAGAGGCCTATCTGTAAACATTTGCATTTTTATCAGCTCAAAATTCTTCCTCTTGACTGCACGGGAACTCACGATTTGTGCATAATGTACTTCCCTTCCAGACTGCATATGATCATTTCAAATAGTTGATTTTATTTTCTCTATTCAATTTTCCTCTCAGCAATGTTGGATCGTTTGATTTTTGGTTTTTTGGTTTGTTTTTTTTTTCACTCAGTTTTATGTTTTAGTGTGATACTGCAGGATCAGGAGGGTGAAAGATTCAAAGAATGAACAAAGAAATGTGAGGAGTAATAGTTAATACAAAAAACGGTTTTCACGTATATTGTATATTAAATATATCAGAAAAAGATACACTGGACTTAATATGTTAATACCTGTTCTTTTCAAGCACCTCTGCAGCTCAGCGACATTACAGTCCCAAAGCAGATGAAAGAGTGGAAAGGTATTTCGTGAGCAAGGGCAGGATGTCTACATGCAAATTTAAAAAAAAAAAAAAAAGCAAAAAACCCACAAAACTCCAAAAACCAACCAAAGAAAACAACAAAGCATAAATCGTGTAATTGATGGAGAATTTGATCAATTAAAGAAATTCAAACAGACATGAGACAGAAGGGGGAAATAGAGCTGGGTGAGCTGGGTGGGATAGCAATAATTGACACATCTATAAAGAGCAGGAATAAAAAAAAGAAACATTGGTGAAGACATTCATGACAAGACATAAATCATTAGAACCAAGTGTGGATGGTGATGACATAGTATGACCACGGCTGCCTCCATGTGAAAGTGAGAAATGACAAGTGAATGGATGTATGCTATCACTCAGGAAATAACTACTAAAAATGCATCCAGTGAGCATCCATCTACCTCCACAGAAGTGTCTTTTCCTATGTAGTACTTCCCCAGTTTGCAGTTAATACTTTCTCCCCCATGGCAAATTCATTCTTGAATTCCTAAAGGATGGCCAAAATTTCAAGCGAGGCTGTCCTTGCAGAAACTGGAAGCAGTTTTGTCCAGGGTTTGTTAAAAATAAGCTACTGTGTTAATTTCCCAGGAACTGCTTCTGGGCATCAACTCACAGTACCTGTCCTTGTTATGGACACGCTGCTCTTGCAGCTCACCTATCACCCCAAGACTCAAAATGATAGGAGTGCCCATTATATTTACCAGACTACAAAAGTCCTTTGGAGAGTTTGTGGTATGTACAGCTCTGGATTGAAATAAAAATGTTACTTCATTAGGTTGATGATGCTGTGGGTGTTTGTAGATATGATGCTTTTCAAACCTGCTAACTCTCTGATTAAGCTGTGGCCTTATCTTTGAGAGCCTCTTTTCAGCTGATGATAGTTTGTGAGGCTTCATTGATTTCGCTCCTTTTTGTGACTTATTCCAGTTCATCCTGACTGAATATCTTTTTTGAAAATTGTAATGTTGTGTTCCTCCCTTCTGTGATCAAGTGACAAGGGACTTATTTTTTTCTTCCTCTCCCCAAGATAAGAAGCAAAAGGAGTAACCAAACTATCTCTCTCTGATCAACATCACTGACCTGTCTGAGTCACACTCCTGACTCACAAAAATTTGTCTTACAAAGAATAAGAGCAGACCCTCCCTGATCTCATCAGTGCTGGGTAATTTTCTTAAGAAAAAAAAAAAAAAAAAAGGTCTCTTAGCAATGCTAGTTCCAAGTCCTTTGGATAAGAAAATAGTTCAGTTAAGTTTTAGGCTCCTTCAGCAAACATTAGCAATTCTGCCCCCTGGCAGTTTTTCAAGATGGGTTTGAAGCATTTAAGAGTCATTAGAGGTAACAGTTCCCATTCTGCATTTCTTTCAGAAGAGATGCACTACCTTGTTTACACTACCTTAGTCAAGAATTTATCATTCAAATAATAAGTGACTACCAGGACATAGCCGAATAAATTATTTGTTTACTTTGTTGATCACATACAGCTCTAAATCATCTTGTCTGGTTTCAAGACATTAAGGAAATTATCCCACCTACCTAAAATTGCTTTTGAAGAATATTACTAATGACCTACTTCACATGCATTTTTAAATAGTTTAAACCTCTGTGCTCAGCCTTGCAAGACTTATTCAAGAATAATCTTTTGCAGATTACAAATACAGATCTGAAGATTATCAAGGCCAAAATTTGGATATCTATGAAAAGGTGTGGCTATAAAATATCCGGTATGAAAGCTTCAAAAGAAATCACTCTCCATGTTAGTATAAATTATAGCAAAATTATTTTTAAAAATGTTTATATTTGTGTATATATAAAATCAAGTATGTTTGCAATGTTTAAATGTAGACTATAGGCAGTCAAAAGAAGAAAGTCTTGCCTTGAGTGTTGTTTTATTGTCAGGTAATAATAGAATGATATATATTTAGTTAAGTAGAAACAAAGTTCTAAAAATAATTTAAAATGTTGTTTGTCAACTCAAAAAATTAGGAAAATTAACTAAGTTCTTGTAAGTGTATTATGTACCAGTAGAAAAGATCAATAGGGTTTTCTTCTAAGTTCCCTTTTTCCAATTGGACAACATGGCAGCCTTGTCTTGAGCTAGCAGAGCTCGAATATATCATGTTATGTGTACTTCTAGTAACTGCTGTACTGCTGTGGGTTATCTTCAGGCTACAACGTGTTAGGCAGAAGTAAAGGCAGTTTGTTTTACAAGAGAAGTGGATTAAAAGATAGAAAAATGTTTTGTTTGTGACAACAGTCCAAACATTGACAATTTAGTTACCTACAGTTCTGACTGGATTCAGTGAGAGCTGCACATGCTTAGTAATTCCTAAAGCTGATGTCTGTTTTAGTAAAAAATATCTTGGATTACTAGAAGGTATTTTAAAATAAATACATATAAAAGGCTTTTAGATTTATACAATATTAGATCCACAGTAAAACCTAAATTTGTTTATTTATTGTGCTGCACTCAGCTTGATGTTAATTCACTGTTCAACCACTTCTCATTGCCTTTCATGTTCAAGCTCTCAAGCCCTGGCAGCGCCTTTTTTATGAAGCCATAAAAATGGTCAGAATGGTCCTCAGAATGGTCCACCAGGACAGCAGAAAGGGCCCACAGCTCCCTGTGAGATGTTCTTGACAGCATAAGTAGTTGCCTTTACAAATGCTGCAAGACCAGCTGGCCCTAGGAAGAAAACAACTGTGGGTGCATTAACAGATGTGGTTCATGGAGTTTCTTAAGAATAAGGTTCAAGTTGCAGGGTCAAAGTACCAGAACTATCTCAACCTGCTTTGAAAATGTCAAAAACTTTGATCTTTGTAAGCACTACATGTTTATCTGCCTCCCAGCTTTATGTGGTTCTGATGAAGTTCATGATGCTCTGTCAAATTACAGGGAAATACAAGCACTTGGAAAAGGCTCAAGAATCCCTTTCAAAGTTGTGGTGTGTATAAATAAGTATAAAAGCATACATATACAAATAGAGATCTTCCTTTAGAAGGAAACTCTTATTTAAAGGGGTGTCCAGCTAAAACTCTAGGACAGTATTATAATTAGCAAAACAAAAAATTAATAATTGTAAGACAACAGTAAAATGACCATAAATTTTGCCAATATTAGAAAATCCACCTTGCTACCTAAGACAAAATTGTTCCTTTCCTTATTACTGTTTCTTTCCCTATGCATATATGCCTATCCATTTGAGTTTTGCTGTGAAGACAAGCAAAAATAACCATTTTAGAAAAAAAGTTAGGAGATCTGATGGTTTTAGATGGGAACCATTCAAAATGTTGAGGGGGTTTGTTTGTTTATTTTTGTTTATTGGTTTATTTTTTGTTTTGAAAAGGAACCAGAACTCTTATGGTAAACCATGGAAGTTAAGCATAAGAAATGAAATCAGCAAGAGTTAATTAAGACCTTTGTAGCCAAAAAAAAAAATAGTGTTGTACAGATAAGATTTGTTTGGCTTTTTTCCTTTTCCTCTGATCTATTCCTCTTTTCTAAATTAGATAAAAAAACTCCATGAATCATTAAATTGGCAGGCAAGCAAAGCTAAGATAAAGCACCTCTCTTAAATCCATAATGCCAGGAAATTCAGAGATGTAGATGTAACAATACTCTTACCCCATACTGCAGTACTTTTAGACTGTGGAACTTCTCAGTGTTGACTGAGATAAATAAAAATCACACAATTTTTTGCCTCCCCTCAAAAATTTTTGTTTTGAGGTTGAGGAGTGGAGTTTTTTACTAGTTTACTGCAACATTTCTGTTTTCCCCTGAGATACGTTCTGCACATTGGGATGTATTCTTATAATAGTTTTGAGTTTATGGCTGACAAAAGTAAATATGAGTATGAGAGAAAAATCAATTAATATAATATAAACCTCATACTTGTATTAGATGGGGCTTTTTTCTTGTCATTCTGTTGCAAGCTCCAAAACAGAACAGGTATGTAGATTACTTGAACTTGTGCATGCCTTTGCAGGTTTAGGACATAAACTGCCTAAAGGAACTCACGAAATTATATTACTTGTGTTGTGTCAGGGAGTTTCTGTATCTATCTCAGTATAGATATTGTCTTCCATATGCAGGATTTAAAAGTAATTTCCAAAACTCCTTTGAAAATTTAAAGAAGTGGACTTATATACCATTCTTACAAGAAAAAGGAATGTTTGTTGGAGTTTTTCTCTTAATATATTTCAACTTTATTGCAGGCCCAAAATACATCAAAGAAGCATGGTGATCTGAAGCCTCATAATGTATGGCATTTTCATCAGCGTTACAGGGATCAGCAAGTGTTTTTAAAAATGGAAATCACCAGGCAAGTCAAACTTATTTTGTTGTTCATCTTCCCCACTTTTTACCTATGACCCACTGGGTGGAAAGGATGAACAACATTTCTGAGTGCTCATCTCTTTAATGAAGTGGTGGGAGGGAGGAAGGAAGAAAATTAAATAATGAAGTCCTGGTTCCACACTCCCTTACTCAGCTAGCACTTTGAATATGTTGACCTATTGGAGTATAAAGATTTAGAAAGACATTTATTAATTTTTAAGAGTAAGGGAAAATTAGAGAGGTAATGGATCTCAAGCAGCTCCTGAGTCATTGTGCCTTAGATATTCATTAGTGGACTGGTGCAATCCAGCCATCTCCTATTTTTCAAGGCTGCCTTTAGAGGAACTTTATCAGTCTTCAGGAATTAAAAACTAACTGAACAAAAAGTACAAATAATTAATCATATAAAATGCATTCACCTGTGTTCCAATTACTTTAGTTTGTATTTTGAACCATCAATGAAATAAGAGGCGTGATCCATGCAAATGTATCTAAATTATATATCAAAAAGAATTTCTTAGTGTTTAAGACAAATATTTCATTTGTATACCATAATCTGTGTAGTATGGTATGTTTCCACTTGGCTTTAGTGACACAAGTTTTGGGGTATTATAATGATGATGATGATGATGATGATGATTTGTTTTTAAACATGACTCATGAGGTTTCTTCTGCATGCTGGTTATATAATGTTTCTTCCTTCATGATAGTGACTATCTGTTTTCTACTTTTGGCTTACTTTTCTATTGTTATTTCTAAATTGTGTTCATTTAGCTGATGACTGGAGGATCTGTTTAATTAATCCAATAATTAAAGAATACTAATAATTAAGAAGTTGTCATATTTGCTGTATATTAAATGTCTTAGGAGAAATAACTTTTAGTATTTGGTGTTGGTGCTTTAATCTTATTATTCTACAGTATTCTTTTACTATGATATCTGTTATGCATAAGTCAGATTACAAAGCAAAAAAAAAAAAAATTTAAAAAATATAATCAGGTGTCCCTGATGAAGGAGCTTTATGTTGTCAAAATCAAATGCACAAAGGAGTAAAAGGAGATATTTGTGAAAATTCTGGAAGACATATGAAAATTTTATGAGAATTGAGATGAGCTTAAATAATGTTTGTGTACATCAGTAAGAAAATATACTTACCTTTTAGTGTGGTTAAAAAGGCAAGAACCTTCTATTGGATTCTCAGTGAAAGAACTTTTAAAAAGCAAATTCTCTAAATGCCAGATTTAGGTGGTAAATAAATAAAGCAATATTCACCAGAATGAGCATGGCAGAGTCAAGCTTCTTACAGTCCAAATAAATGCTGAGGGAAAAATATCCACATTTTATTGTTTTCTCCTCTGATATTTGCTGTTCTTCATAGTTAATATTTATCCTAACAATGGGCTTGATATTACTTTGACAAAGAGAAGATATAATGAAAGGAAATACTTATCAACCATTAATATAAGATCATTTTCTAATTTACAAAATTCAAATGTCCTTAATAAACTTTACAATCCTTATTTTTAAAGATGAAATCTAATCTACAAAGAGATATTAGTTATTTTTTGTTACACTTTATTTCGTGTATTGTTCACTCATTAAATTTAATTTTACAAGTTAATAATGGTGTTGTACTTTTATTAATATAGTTTGATATAATTGCTGCACCCTATTTAATGATAGTATAACTTTGCAATTAAACAATTTGCTTTACCCACAAAACACAAAAGGTTTCTGTGATACAGTCTTTTTTTTTTTAGTCCACTGAATTGCTGCCAATTTCTTGGTGAAACTATTTGCTTTTTCCACCACGCTCTCTTATCCTTTTATTTAATGCTCACTTAAGTGTTCTTCTGAACTTTGGATGTTTGATGACAGGTTTGCAAGGTTCAAAACACTTGATTTGTTGGGCATTGCCCTTTGGAAATGAAAAACACATAAGAAAAAATCATGTCTCTGAAGAACTGAATCAAATATAAGTTGTCTCTCATAGCCTGTATAAACAAATGAGGGTATGCCTCTGCAGGATAATGATGAGAATCTTTATAGAACAATAATTCAAGTTTCTATTTTTGATGATGGATAGTTGTCTTCCTTAAATTTTACCTCTCTTATAAAATAAGTTATGTGGTCTTTTACTACTCAGTGTTGTAATCTCTCTCTACTAACTTACATAGTCATCCAAGTGTCCTGTTTTTAGTGCCTGTAGTCTGCTTATCAAATCTGTAATCAGAATCACTTGTACAATGGTTTGGAGTGCTGTGTCACATCAGCATCACAGCCCACCTGACAGAGACCACTGCATATTTCTGGGGTTTTTCAGAGACACTGTCACCTTTTATGTTGTCAGAGCTGCTTTATCCATGAAAAACCTTTTTCTACCCTAGCAGCTTGAAAATCTTTAGAGGATTCCCCTTAGGAGAGGGGACTTGTACAGTGTGATGACAACATCCATCAGCTCCTCTTCAGAAAAAAACCCAGCAAACACATAGTGTAGGTAACATTGCACTGAAGAGCTTTCAGATAATCCTTTACTAAAAATTATCTGCCAGATTGTTTATGCTATGGGAAAAGAAATGCTAGGGAAAGAATAAGGCAAGTACTGACAAAGCCTAAAGACCTAAATCTTGAAAGTGTAAATCCCATGTCTACCAGAGCTGTATGAGGGTGACAAACCACCCTTAGCTCTATTTCGCCCTTACCTCTCCTGAAAACATCCTCTGCCAAAGTTGAGAGGAAAACTTGCCTGTATGTCTATCTGACCATAACATTTGGTTATTTAGAAATTCATAGCTATTTTACTTGTACCTGTTCCTTTTGTAGTTCTTCAGTGGCCAACAAGCAGTAACCAGAACACATACATGTCAGCACAGTCTACCTACTCCAACTTCAAATGTTTGCTAATGGCTAGGATGGGCTCTTAAGTTACTTTTTCTGCCTTTTGCCCAATTTTTACATCAGATACTACATATTACATCCAATTTTTGATATTCTAAGGCTCAACTTCAGGCAAATTGCATCTATGGGTAAGGCAGAAACATTTTTTATTTTCTAGGGCAATTAATTAGGCATCTGCAATGTCACTCCCACACTTAAATTAATCTCCATATGTTCAGTTATCATGGGGGAAAGAAAAGAAAGAAGAAACTGAAATGAAAACTCATAGCCACAACTCTGCAATGTCTTTTTCAGACACCTAAATTTCTGTCAGCTTGCTGGGGAACCATGATGTCTTTGTTACATGCTTAGCTAACCAGCACATATCATAATTTCTACACAAACAATGGCTCTGTCACTTTTCATCATATATTTAGAACAGAAGAGAAAAAAAGAAGTGTAACTGATGAGTTTTTGTACTTTTATTTCATGCAGTTTAGGATAGTTACTATTTACCTGTGAAATACTACTTTTGATTTAAATAGTGCATCACAAGTTATTTGTCTTGTGATATATTGTCTTTGGTTCATTTATCTTCTTGTTTCATTTTCTTGCTAATTTGGAATACTTGCTTGGTAATTTTTCTGAATTGCCAAAGTTCTAATAGGTCTTGCTGGGGACCCTTTTAGACTTTTAAAATTAAATATCTTCTGTGATAGGTGGACTCAGGAGAAAAAAGAAATACAGAAAGCACATCTGAACTACTGAAACACTTTAACACAGGAAATGTTAAGAACTTACAACTAGTGAAATGTAGCAATTTTAACCGGCACTTATGGATTCTTGGCCTGATACATTTTTGTTTTCTTTATGCAACATTCCTGTGTTTTGAAGCATTAAAAGTGCTCCCGGTGTTGCCTGCAGTGTTTCAGTTGCACTCAGTCTGGCTGGTCAGTAGGTATGAGGGGATTTAATGTTGCATGGGCTCAGGCTGGCATGGAGTTACTTTTCCCCACGGCAGCTCCCCTGGTGCCGTGGTGGTGCTGGAAAGGTGTTGGTGACACCTGGGTGTTTTGGGTACTGCTGAGTGGTCCTGGCACAGCACCAAGGCTGTGTCTCCAACATTGTCCCCTCACCTCAGCTGAGGATGGGCCAGTTCTTGGGAGAGACACATCCAGGACAGCTGACCCAAGGTGACTAAAGGGATATTCCATAACATGTGGCATCTGCTTAGCAATGAAAGCTATGGAAAAGGGGATGGAGGCATTTGTTATGAGATTTGGTCTTTTGGAGGATCCATTTATACTTCCCAGAAGGTGACTGGACATCTCCTGCTGATGGGAAGTAGAGAAGAAATATTTTCTTTTCCCCTGCTTCTGTTCATGGCCTTTACTTCATCAACCCTGAGATTAGCTCAGTTGTTTGGGGCATGGTGATAAAAATGTTAAGGTTGTTGATTTGATCCCTCTATGGACCATTTACTTAAAAGCTGGACTCAATTATCTTTTTGGGACCCTTCCAACTCAGAATATTCTGTGATAAACTGCCATTTTCTGACCTGTGAGGTTTTGTGAGGTTTTTCCTGGTTTTTTTTTTGGTTTTTTTTTTAATTTTTTTTTTTTTTTTTTTTTTTTTTTTTTTTTTTTTTTATCCTCACCCTGCCTTGCTGAGGGAAGGGAATGATAGAGTGACTTGGTGGGCACATGTTATCCAGCTGGGATCAACCCACCACAACCAAACAGGCACAAATCTTGCCCAGCTTGCAAGTCACAGACTGAGCCCTCCTTGTAGGCTGGTGCCCATGCATGTTTTGGATGCTAACTGTACAGATCTGACTGCGATAAGGAATTTTCTTCTTCCAGCTTTTGGAAAGGAGCATGAAAACCAAATCCTAACCATCTACAGAGGCAGTTGAACCATGCTGCTACTATCATTCTTTTCTCTACAGCACTTCAATGCACAGCAGGTACTTGAAACCCATAGTTTCAAGTACCCCATAAACCCTGTACGAACTTCTTGACCTGGATTTTATAGTTTCAGTAAACAGAACCACATTAAGGAGGGAAGAGTCCAAGGTTTTATGTAAAGTTTTGCTAGATATGCCTTATCTGTGATAGGAAAGTTCTGTGACTTTCCCATCTTTCAGGTCTCAATCTCAATTTCAGCATTTCTTTAGGTCTTCTGATCTATTTCTTATTTGGTTTAATGTTTTCTTCAAGCTACTACCTATTTTCTTGCATTTTTATTTCCAGCTGGGGAATTCATCAGGCATGGCAATAGACCATTACAATAGACAGAGAAGACTGTTTAGTTGTAGCTACACCTGTGCTTTTTTTTCTTTTTCTTTTCATTCGTAGACATTGAAGAAGGATGTTGAAATTTAATCAGTCTAAAAGCAGCCCTTCCTCCTTCCCCTTCTCCTTTCTCCTTTCTCCTTTCTCCTCCTCCTGTTTTTTTTCCTTTTGTTACACCTTTCCTCCCTTCCTCTCTTTTTTTTTTTTCCTTCTCTTCTTCCTTATCTGTAGAACCACTAAGGAATTCAGTAAGATTTCTGAACTGATTGTAACTATATAACTAGATGTTAATAGAATTGTTCTTCTGTGTAAGGGCAAATAAAAGAGACATTGAGTGAGAAAATTTCCATGGAAACAATATTTCAGTAGCAATGAAAAATATTTCTCACCACAACATGCTAAAAATAACTTCACAAATAACTTCATAAAATTGGACTTTTTTATTGATCGTATGGCAGGAAAAACCAACGTACTTTTCAGCTGGAGGATAATATGCTGCATTCTGCATTCTGCATCACTAATTCTTTAATAGGATAACTTTGCATTTCTCAACCTGCTTTTTAAAGTCTATTCTGATGTTAGTTATTTCTATTCATCTAGACAGAGGGATTACAAAGTAAAGCGGGCTACAACGTGTTCTTGGTTGCTTGCCACTTCCCAAATTCTGCATTGTGGCTCTTTCATAGCAATCTTAAGGTCAATTTT